TTGATTATATTTTCAATCTGGAGCTTTCCAGGTCGCCGGGGAAAATTCATTCATGCTCTTAACGAGGAAATTTATGCAGGTCGAGGCCAAACGTATAGGTCATCAGGTCGGCTCCTTTCGCGTTATAAATCTCACCACTTACACTGTGTATAACATGAACGTGTAATATTATATCACATGACAGGAGAAGACAGACGAAATACGGTGTGCGAACACTAGACCTCGTATCCTTTCACAAGACTACGGTTCATCATATGAGCTGTTACCATGGAGCAATTCGTGAAATATTAAAATACTGACCGAAAAAAAAAAAAATAAATTTAATTAATTTTATTTTATAAATATATGGCATAAGCGATTTTATTTTATATATATGGCATAAGCGATGTACAAAAACAAGGGATGAAATCTCGAGACCGAGGTCGCGCTGCAACAGGAAAACTTAAAATCAGGTCAGCTATGACGTCACTCGTTGTTATAAAGCTGACGGTGCGTTCATTCAACCCCCGGGACAAACTAGGTCACTCAGCTTACCCCATTGACCAATCTCGGCAACTACCATCACCTCTTCTTGTCTCTTCTCACCCTCGGCGAAGCTTCATCCTTGAATTTATTACTCACAAACACAAATACATTTGATTTTATCTAATTTTTTGTGGATTAGTGCAATCATAACAATTTAATTAATTATTTTGTTTGATTAATAAATTTTTAAGGATACATGAGAATTTTTATTATTATTTTTATAATACACCGAGAAGAAATTTTATTTTTTTTCTATTTTAAACAATTTTATTTTTTAGGTGAAGAAATAAAAATTTTTTTCACATTAACTTTCTTGTTGAAAATGTTTTTTTGATTTAAAAAAAAAAATAATTTTAGATAATTAAGAATTTTAATCCAAAATTGTTCTTTTTCCAGAACTGGAAAATTTTTTTTAAAAATAAAATTATTGGGAGAAAAATTTTCATTTCTTCGGCTGAGAAATAAAATTGTTTAAAATTTTTAACAAATTAATTTCCTAAAATATTTTTTTCTCACCGTTTACACTGTGATAAGTTGTAATTGGAAGAAAATTTCTAGAATTGATTAAATAAAAAGTTAATTTTAAAAAATTTAATAATTTTAGGGTAAATGCACCAGTTGTATGTTGACCGGTCACCAATTAGTTGACCGATGTATAAAAAAGTTAATTAATTAATATTTTACAAGGGTTTTTTTTTTCTTAAAGTATTAAAATAAAAAAATATGGCATTTAATCATCATAATAAAAAATTACGCAATTAATTGCGCAGTGATTATAGCATCTGTCTAGTGTTTAAAGTACTTTAGTCATTCAATATTTTGTAAATATAAGAATAATCATTATAAAATGTATATTTATTATTAAAATAATACTTAAAAATCTTTTTTTATTATTAAATTTTATTTTGTTCTAATTTTTTTAGTGAACGGTTATATCAAAGGACGAATTATTAGAAGAAAAAATTGCTGAGCAATTAAAAAAATAAAAAAGAGTTACAAGCTATATAGTAAAAAAGCTTTAATTGAGAAAAAGAAGGAGAAGAATAAAAAAATTTCAAGTGAATCAGAAGAATTATCGTCATCAAAATGAATTTGTGACCTAAAGAAATGTGACTTTATGTTAATTATTGCTATTATTTATATTATTTTATAAAAAAGTACGATTTAAAATTATATTGTATGTTTAGTTTTGTTAAAGATGTCGTTAATACTTCAAAAGTACTGCATAAATTTAATTACATACATGTAGTTTACAAAATTACTTAAAATTATTTTAGCGGTCAATTAATTGGAGAACGGTCGGTCATTAATTGGGTTTCTTCGGTTAATAATTGGTGATTTTAGTATTTCAAGATTCAAATAACAAAATTAATATAATTTTGTTAATTTTTATTATAAATAGTTATTAATTATTATTAATTAGTGCTTAGTACAGAAAAAGAAAACCTTAATCGGTCAATAATTGGTGCATTTACCCTATATCTAAAAAATATTCCTGTACTATCATGGGTTTTCTCTGTGGTTTCCCCATGGTTCTGTTCCAACAGCCTGAGAAGGTGAGGTTCAGGGTGAATACGGTACAGAAAGCACAAGTCGGTCCACAGCCGCAATAAAGAGGGAAATATAGAGCGAAAGATATAAAAGTGGAGATAAAAAGTGGGGATATCAGCCTTGTAAAAACCAGATAATGGTATACAAGTAAAACTCAAAAAAATAAATATCTAAAAAATATTCATAACTTTAAAGGAATTTTCTTACGTAAATTTATTAAAATGAATTAAATGTTTTTCTCACCCTTTTCACCTTTTAATTCTTTTCTTTCGACCTTTTATTCCAATCCGTTGTACGTCAGATAAGAAAAACTTATGACGCACACTTGATATTTAGATGTTAATAAAGACAATTATTACCCTTTTAAAAATTTTAATGAATAATAAAAATGGATAATTTCGCATGATATTGTTGAGTTTATTTTTAGGTCAAAAAAGTAATGAATCAGATAAAAAAAAAACTATAAATATATGTTAAAATTTAATTGCTAGTTTATAATCCAACTATCCATTTTTTTTAGATCACAATTTTTTATAAATATTCAGTCCCTCAAAATTTATGAACGTAAATCAAGTTCATCTCCGAAGAAAAATAAAATAAATATGAAAAACCATTTATCAACAAAATTTCGTGATTTATCTCTAGCATTTTTATTTTATTTATTTGCTAACATTTTTACATTTTTAAAATTTTACAATTTTTTTTCAAAACACATTTTCTTTAATTTTAATAATTTTTTAGTATTATTTATTACAAAATAGCAAATTAAATTATTAATCTAAAAGACACATCATGCAAAACAAATTTCATCAATAAATCTCCAATTGATTAACTCAAATTTTCAGTTCATTTAAGTTGGTTACCATGTCAATTTAATAAATAAATAAAGATAAGTACACTTTTTCAATTCTATGATAATAGTTCTGCAAATAGTATTCGTTGTCATTCAAATCCTCGACGAAATCAACTTCTGCATGAGCCTTGATATTTATTAACGCAGTATGATTTTCCTCAAATTTACTTCATTTATTTTTGACAACATCAATCATAATTTCCAGCCATTCTCGATTCTCAGAGTAACGACCTATGTTGGAAAAATTTGAATTTATTTAAAAAATTGATTCAGCAAGTTCCTTTTGGTGTTCCAGTAAAGCCAAGTGACTCATTGTGATTATTCGTAATAAATCTCTCCTTATAAATAATTTTCTCTGAAGAGAAATTGATTTATAAACTCGATTTTAATTATTTCACAGTTAATGTAACTTCAGAGCTCGAAGTGTTTGTTGAATGTTGATAAAATAAACAAGTCAAGTAATTGGTAACTATTTTTTGTTTTAATATTAAAAATATAATATATATTAAATATTTTAATATTAAACAAAGAAGAACGCATTGATTCAAAAACAAATTACTATTTAATATTAATTACTACAATGGGTGCGGTCTTTTTTGAAAAAAAATTTTTGCGCATGCGCAGAACGTACATTTAGTTCTGCGCATTTAGTTTTAGCGGAAAAATTAAAAAAATTTTTTTTTCCATCATAGCTTAATTTTTTTGCACTGTGCGTCCTGTGCATACAATTTTAGCGCGAAAATTTAAAATCCTCGAAAAAAAATTTTTTTGAAAGTGTAAACTATGGAGAATAGAGTATTCTATCGTGTAAACAATTATTTTTCTTTCGAAAAGTCGAGCTGGTCGTGATCAAATAAAAATATTTTCATAAAAAATTCTTAATTAAAAATAAAAATTTTTATTGCCTGTAAATTTCAATTTAATAATTAGAAAACATGAAACTTTTTAAACGACCAATAATCTAATCAACAAGTACCTTTTTGGTCAACTTTTTCCAGCAGTCTCCGAAAATAATGATTCAGGTGTTATTCGATTCGGAATGGCATCTAGATTATTTTTCGAAAAGAGTGAAGATCCGCTTGGAAAAATTGCGAAAGTAATAAAGATTTAAAAAATTTTTAAAAAGATTCAAAATAGAAGAAATTTTCCTAAACAAATTCTTGACTCCTGGGACTGTAAGACCAATATTTATAATTATCCCAGAGGGATGAAAATACGGTCAAAAACGGGTGCTCTGACTTGCGTCAGCTATGTCTACTTTGGATACTTTATTAATAAAAATTATTTTATCATATTAAATATGAAATTTAATAAATAAAAAAATTCAGGGGCTTACTGGATAGATAAATGAACAATAATTGTTTGTTTTATCCCCTATATAATTACTGTTTTACAAATCAAATATACGAATTACTAAAAAAAAGCCAATTTTTTAATTATAACGATTAATAAAATAATTACGCTTACATTATTCAAAAAATATATGTATATCACTTTTATATACAAATAAAAATGCTTATCAATAAATTTAACCTTTTTTTTTACATTAATTTATCAAAATATACAAATCATTCGAATTTACATAAAAGAAAAAAATTAATAATAAATTATTTACTTTTTATTAGTAAATAATTGGATATGTAAAATAAATTCGATAAAATTGCAAAAAATACCAGTAATGATAATAAATAAAATGCACGATTATTTAAAAATAAAAAAAATTAACGTTTTAAGAAAAACTCCTCAGGTACAAGTACAGTAAAATTGATGGAGAAAATAAAAATAAAATATTTATTTAAATTAATTCACTGTAATAAATTCCTCAGAAGTTTTATCACTAAATTTTACATTAATAAAAAAATAATAATGATCATAATAATATCTATTATTATAAAAATCGTTTTGTTATTTATTCTTATTTATATTTTTTTTATCTGTCTTAATTCGGTAATCGTATGAGTCGTGATAAAAAAGTCCGATTATTTTTTTGCTTCCAGATAAATTTCAATTTTTTTTTTTTTTTAGTTATTAAAATTTATATTACAAATAAATAATAAAAAAAAAAAAACTACTAATGATGATGACCAGTGGTCAGTAATGCAGGTAAAAATGATCCAATGACCAACGCCAATATTTCTTTAAACTTCAATCCTGATGTACTAATTGGTGTGCCTTCAGCGACTGGTAAATGAGAGTATGAATTACTATTTCTGGTCATTAATTCTGGCAAAACGTGGACAGTTGCGACATATAAAAATGTACCAGCACTAAATAACATCGCCAAGCCTGTGGCATTAACATTGCTCAATGTTTCTTTACCCTCCTGAAAATTTATTTTAATTATAAATTAGATTATTTTATTTATTGTCGTTATTACATTTAATTATCCAAGCCGCTTACGACGTCTCTGTTTAAAAACTTTAAATCACTGTCAAAGACTTTGTAATGTGCAATTATTTTTACTAAGTAATCTCTTATTTATATAAGTATCATATGGACAAAAATGACAGCTTTAATGTATGAATATTTATATCAATTAGTAATATGGATCAATATCTGGTAAAATAATTAAAAGTAGCGTAAAACGTGGATTGCGAATTTTAAATTACAAATTTTAGAGTTCAATGAAATAAGTTTTATTTAATTAATTGTAATACGTTAATTAAAGTGTAATATGAGAGTAAATATTTAATTATAAAATCGTTAAAAATTATGAGGATGCTTTCAATTCAACTGTAAAATATGATGATTATATTCAAAATATTGTTGACTATATTTTCTAGAGATATCAATAATATTATTTGATAAAAAATTAGTCGATACAAATTTGCGTTAAGACAATTATTTTTTATACTCTAAAAAATTATAATATAAAATAAATAATAAAATGTGCCAATTTTAAATTAAATATTTTAATTTAATAAAGCAATATCGAGTCAATAAATTTTTAGTAATTTATTTTATGTGATTAATTTTAAAAGCATTTAATTTTTTTCAACACGAAAAATACTTTTAATTTTTCCGAAAAAATTTTAATTAAAAAAAAATTTTTGATAAGTAAATTTTTTTATCGTAATATTTTTAACTCTGTGTTATTGATGTAGGTACGTCCGAAATGTGCAGAAATGTAAAAAAAAATTTTATTCGCTCTTATGGCTCCCGGGATCTTCCTCAGATGCCATAAGGGCGTATAAAAAAAATTCTATTTTTTTTTCAAGTCCAAAAAAATTTTTTAGTATGAAGAAATTTTTTTTTTTTTTCATTTTTGCACATTTCATGAAAAAATATGTCAGTATAAAAAAATTTTTTTTTTTCGAGAATTAATGTATTTTTGTATAAAATGTACAAAAATACAAAAAAAAAAATTTTCTTCATACTAAAAATTTTTTTTGGACTTAGAAAAAAAAAAAAGTAGAATTTTTATTAAATAAATAATTAAATTAAATAATTACCTTTCCAATTCCAAAATATGTAACAAGTGCTAAACATGGAGCAGATAAAGAAAATACTAATAAATGCCGTCCTATTTTTTTTCTATCTACACCTTCATGAAGAAGAAAAGATACTAATCCAAAAGCTGCTGGTGCCTAGAAATAAATTTAAATCCAACAATAAAAATAATTATTTATTAAATTATAATAAATGTATACCTTGTGCAGCATAATAGCGAGAAAAACTATAACTTCAACATCAGCCTGTGATGTAGTTGCAGCAGCGCCCAAAGCAACACCATCAGCCGCTGCATGTACAACCAAACCTATAGTAGCAGTAACGCTTTTTTCTTTACCACCACTGCGTCTCGTTGAGCACTGATCAACCAGCAGCATGAACACAAAACCCAACACCAAACTTACTCCTATCATACCATGGAGATCAGCTGAAACATCAACAGATGCATCTAAGTAAACAAACAAAGTAAGTTTTTTAAAATAAATTTATTTAAAATATTTATATAAGATGTGAAAGCTGAGCTAAATTTACCATGACCGGTTGCTGGAGTATGAGCATCAACACTACCTGCTCCGCTGAACAATGCACGAATTCCCTCGGGAATAATGACAGCTAGCGCTGTTCCGACTAGTAGGCCAGCTCCTAATACTGATACAAGCTGCAACTTGTCCTGCGAAATAAATTATTTGGATTATTAGTGTTTAATTAAATAATTATTTATATAATTTAATACCTCAGACAAGTTCATAACAAGTGGCAAGGATCCAGCAACATATGACCCCACTAACATAACCACAGCAAGTATCCAGAGTACCAGTGTTTGATCCATTGTTATTAAAAATACGTAAGCCTTGATTTTTTAATAAATTATTTTTTTTTGCAGTACCTTACGGAGCTTTGTTGACAATAATATTGAGCAAAGTTTACCTGCCGCACTAAATATTGCGGCAAACTATGTTAAACTTATCTTCCGCATGTTAACTTTCTAAAAAACATTTTTGTTTAACCGGAGTCGACGTAGACAGTTTTCATCCGTCAATCGGTGAGAGGTGATGTTGGGTGGTTTAGAGCGGCTGCTGACTAGTTTTTTTAATCTAAACACTTCTCCACATCTGGACGATCTATATGTGTGTTGATAATTTTCTGTAGATAAGAAAAATATGGATGTAAATATAAATATGTGTTGTATGTTGTTAAAAAATAATTACACTGTCAGCTGAAGCTAGTTCCTATTTCCGCCGAGAGGCGCTTCATCTATGTTTGAATAATTTTCCACTCAGCTGATGATAAGAATATAGTTTAATGTTTGCATAAATAAAAAACTGTCAACATAAAATCTTTACTTTTATAAAAATTAGTTTTTTATAGTGAATAAGAAAATTTAATTTTATTACTTTTTTTTTTAGAAAATTAACAAGAAATATTTTAAGGACATTTAAGTTAGCTGTCACTATAATTTTTTAATTTTTTTTAACAATAAAATTTGTTCCAAAAAATTATTTTTATTTTTTTTAAATTTCTAAGTGTCAATTTTGTTGCCATAATTTATTTGTTATAAAATTCTTAAAATTATTAAATATATGCTAAATTAATTTTCATATTTTACAATTAGAAAAATTCAATAAAAATTAATTTAGTAAACATTGGATAATTTTTTTAACAAATAAATTATAACAAAAAAAAAAAATGACATGTAAAAATTTTTAAAATAAAGTTTTTTAGAAATAATTTATTTGTTAAATAAAATTAAAAAATGGTCAAGTGATTACCAGCTTTAAAATATCATAAATATCATCAATAAAACATTAATAATGTTAAAACTCTCGAGTTAGAAATATTAGTTAAATAAAACTGCTCTAGTTTTTAAACTTTAAAAGATGAAGATAATGTTTTATAAAGATCTTTATCACAATAAAAACTTCAAATTACATACCTATTATTTCAACGCAGTGTCATGTTTAATTAATTTTTGAAATTTATAATTGCTCAAGACAAATAAGCATTCTAAAGAATTTTTTGTAAAAAGTACTGTTTAATCTAAAAAATTGACTGTTTAATCAGCATTTGAAAATCTCTCAACTTTTTAAAAATAAACCTAATTTTTTTTTTTACTTCATATCAGTAATTAAATATTATGATTTCATGCTAAGTAATTTACGAAAAAAAAAAAAAATTCATTAATTTAAAATAAAATTAATCAAAATCAGACATTCTTTAAATAAATACATGTAAAATGTTTACTTAAAATTACAATTGAATTCACATGAATTTTTCAAAGCTAATAAAATTATATTGATAATTGATTGTTTAAATAAAATTTAAATTATCAATGACCTAAAAATTAGTGAAGGATTTTTTACTAGGACATAAAAAAAAAATGTTATAATTAATAAAATTTATTTACTTTTTCACGTTTAATAATAAAAGTTGTCCTTCTTAATGATAAATATCCTTATGTTATAATTATATAATTAATAATAATAATAATAATAATAATAATAAGAAAGTAAACTTATAAATTGTATTAATAGTAAATTTTGCAAACCATGACATGTTATTAAATTTAAAATTATAAAATTTTTTTTTATCTGCTTTTTTTTTGTTATTATTGCCAATTTATCATATTAAATGCAAAATAACATTATTTTATTACATAAATATAATAATCTAAAAATTAAAAAATCAAAGGCGCCAGATACATCAAAATATAAATCAGGTATTATCAATCAATAATTACTATCAATACAATAGGCCATTCAATAATAATGTACTTGGAATTAAAGCTTACATATTAAAGTTTGTGATCAAGAAGATAATTATTATTATTAATTTAAGATTCATTAATTGAATTTGTTTTGTTTGTTTCTTTTTTTTTATCATTTCCAAAATATACTGTATACAATATTTAACTTCACTTATAAATATATACAGTCATTGTGTGTGTGTGGACGAGTACACTTACTAAATTATGCCTATGTGATGAGACATAAAATTGAGCAGTACATGTACTGTCTACCTCGTATATTAATTAAAAAGATTAACCATGTTAATTATCATTCAACGTTTTATCGTTTATCATTTCTTTCATATTCATATATAATTATCTCACCAAACAAATGTCTGATTCATTAATAATTATTAAAATTATTTTTAATTCCTAACTCTAGTGCTTCCGGTGTTCTATCATTACAATTGGTATCAATTTCAACTCAATACATATAGTTTTAAACCAACACATTCTTTTTATTTTATTTATTTATCCTGTTGATTTTTGTTTTTATTTAAATAATAATAATAATTATTATTTCTTATTGTTGCAGGCGCCACTTTATATCGTATTATAAATATGTACAAGATATTTAAATGATTAATTATTATTAATTATTGATTACGATATAATTAATATTAGTTGTGGGTTTTTTAAACATTATTTAATAAAGGAGATCTGTTAATTTTTTTAAAGGGGGCTAATCGGCGTACACAATAAATTGTTGATTATCAACATCAGCAACTTCCACCTGAACGAACTGAGGTTGTTGCAGTTGTTGCAATTGTGATACTTGTCGGCCCATGGCATTTCTCGATCTGAAATAAAAATAACAATATAAATAATGAGTAAGGTATTTTTTTTTTTTTTTTCAAAATTTATTTTACTGAATATATTGATCAATATTTAATAAAATAATTATGATACTGAAATTAGCAAACATTTTATACTTTTTAGATTTATTTAATAAATAAATTAATTCTAAAAAATTTGCATTCATATTTTTTTACAATTATTAAATTTTATTATCAATTATTATTTTTATAGAGAGTTAGCAACGTGTACACACCGGATGAATGAAGAAATGATCTCATCACAATGCAAAACTAGGAAGAAAAATGTAAAATCTGGCCGATATCAAACAGAAACTATTAATATTTTTGACACAAACTCCAAAGCACAGGTTTTAGCAGAGACTAAAAACTTTTTTGTATTTTTTTAATTAGATAATAACCACATTTAAGATCAAATTGTTGACAACTCTAATTGTTGTCTTTATCCAACTTTAAACTCTTTTTACATTTTTATACTGTACCCATGACATTATTCTTTTTTATTATTGTATAACATTGCTCACAAATGTAGATATGTTTATTTATTGTTTTCATATGCAAATTTATTCATGTTACCCCTTGCTAAAAACATGTATATAAATGTTTAATGCAATAAATTAATAATAAAAAAAAAAATTATCAATTATTTTTTTTTTTTTTTCGACCAAATTGTATATATAATTGTCCATCCGTTGGCTTGAATTAGATTTACTAGTCACTTGACCGCTAGGCGATAGAACTTTATTAAATTTTATTTTTTTTTGTTTTAATTTATTAAAAAAAAAAAATTCTAAAAATTATCAAATGTTTTTAAATTTTAGTAAGGTAAAATACCCAGTCATTGACACTGACCTAGTTATTGACACTTGCAATTTTATTTTAATTAATTAAAACAAATCAACTTTAATAAATTAATAAATATAATTTTTGAATTATAAATTTTAAGATAATTGGTTTTTTGAGAACATTTTATTTGTTTAATTAAAATAAAATTGCAAGTGTCAATAACTGGGTCTTTTACCTTATCATAAAAAATAAATAATTATAAAAAAAAAAAACTTACTTCGCTTTAGCGTGTGTCAATATATGGGACTTTAAATTGGTCGATTGAGCGAATTTTTTACTGCATCCATCAAACGGACATACATAAGGTCTATCGCCGGTATGAATTCTTACGTGAGTTCTTAAATTGAAATCAAGACTGAATCTTTTACCGCAGCCTTCGAAGGTGCACTGGAAAGGCTTTTCTCCAGTGTGAACAAGCTGATGCCTCTTTAATTTTGAGCTCTCGACAAAGGCTTTGCCACACTCGGCGCACACGTGAACACGTGGACCGTGAGTATGTAAGTGTTTACGCATAGCGCTATTATCACGAAACATTTTGGTACATCCTTTGTGCGGACAGGCGATGGTACGTTCGACACCATCGATAGCTGGAGGCTTGCGTACTTTTAATTTGTGTCCAGGTCGTGCGAAGTCAGACAGTTGCTTCGGGTCGGACATATCCAGTCCAACGGTTATTCCATCGGAGACTGAACTCCCTGAGTGGTTGAACTTCGTGTTGCTCTTTCCTGTCATGTACTCGGAGTAATCTGGATCAGGCTCCGGGTTTGAGCCTTCATCTGGAACATCCACCAGGTGATGCGTCAATAGGACACTCCCTTTAACAGCAACAAGCAAGCAAATCCAAACAGGAGATATGGTATTGCTCATTTTTTTACTATTTTCTTTTTTTTATTTTTTTTTTATTTTATTTTTTTTAATAATAAAATTACATACTAAATTTCATTTTAACCCTTCAGTTATGATTTATAATTTATAACATTTACTTTCACTGTCTGTGCAAATTTATATCTTTACTGTTATCATTTAATGACCTGATAATTTATTTAATAAAAATGTTGAATGAATAATAACAGGCTTATTATTTTTTTTATCGTAATTTAATTTATTTTTTATTCCAAGTCTTTCATTATCATTTTTTATTAAATCATCAGTAGGTAAATGTATAGAAAATTAAGATAGGCATAGCAAGAAATTTTTATTTGAATTAAATTTTTAAGCTATTTATTGTAAAAATTATTTTTTCTGTAGTATAAAATAAAATTCTATATTTTTAACAAAAATGATGTAAAAAATTTTACTTTTAGAAAGATTTGGAATTATTCTGATTAAAATTTTTCAATAATTTATTTGCACATTTTTTTTAAAAAAAAAAGTAAGTAAGTAAATGTATAATTTTCAAATTTATTTGATAAAATTTTTCAACATCTGTATTAACATTTATTTAAACAATAATCACTGAAGTAAAAAATACACATTATTAAAAATAGAAATTTTTATTGCATTATTAAAGAAAATTTTAATGCAAAAGATCATTTGGAAAATATAAATAAACTTTGGCTTAAAAAATTTATGAATATTTACTTTAATTTTTTTTTCAGAAGAAAAAAGTGAAAAAAAAAAAATAAAATTTCTCATTATTGTTTAAATAAATAAATTAAAAATCTTAACCATAATAAATTCTGAAGAGTTAACAATGTTATTTTTATATAAAACCAATAGTATTACTTAAAAGTAAAATACTTAAATAATAAATTTTGTTAATAAAATTGTAATAAAATAATAAAATAAAAGTATTTAGATCTAGTTACAATAATATAAACTCTAATAATAGAATTTTTAGTCACAAATACTTTTCACATTTGAAATGTTGCGATGAACCCGCTACTTGGAGGCGCTGATCGTTGATCAGGCGATTCAACACCAAAGCATTCTTCGATGAATTTGATAGGATAAATATATTTGTTAGTTAACTAATTTATGAGATAAATTGTAAAATAACGGGATATAGACTAAAAAATATATGAAAATTTAAAAAAGAGTCTGAAGGATAATTCACAAAAATAAAAATGATGAGAATGATAATCAGAGAGTCTGTAAAATAGTATGAAGACAAGCAAGTGGTGGTCTTTGTTTCGTAAATCGTAAAACAGCATGCTTCGGACCGCCATGACCGCCATTAATAATGGCCGCGGTTTGTGTAAAAAGAAGCCATTTTCAAAATATGGCTGCGCCCTGCTAAATAATAATGGCGTTGACTCAATCAAAACAAACAACATGTACTGTCAAAAACTAGATAATGCCATTTAAACAGTGGAATTATTTAACAAAATAATTTTAGGAATCTACAAGTAGTGAGTTTCGTTATTGATCAGAGCGCACCGGAAGTGCGTACTAATGTGTGTTTAAGAGCCAATACATAAAACGCGTATCCCAAAACATTCCAGCTAAAAAACAATAAAGAGAGTGCAGGAAATTAATTCAAATGATAACGTGTTAATCAAGGTGATATTACTAAAACTGACTAAATAAATAAATTGCTATTTATAGTAATAGTAATAAAAATAAAAAAAAAATAAATAAAAACTCACCGTCGTCAGTTCCAGATGCCCACATTGTCACCGAAAATTCACCTTCGAGGGTCTTAATTTGAACCTGTTTCTGCTCCCACTTTCTTGTTTTAGTTTCCGTACCCATATCACCGAATATCGCGTGATCCTGTGATCTAAATCGTGTATTACCAGATTTACGTGTTTTTTTACTAGTTTTTCTCGATGGTCCAGGACTTGATTCGACATAAATGTCGTTGTCGGGTACTGGTATTTGGTCGTAAACGCTAAGCGGATCACCACCAACAATTTCCTCTTGCGTCTGTAAAATAATTTCCTCACGTCCTGGCTCGGGGAGTGGTTGTAATGATATTATTGGCTGTCCATCGTCACCTTCAATTGTCGTTTCAACTGTTTCACAGGGTATTTCAACAGGTATTGTCTCTATTTCAACTTCTTGAATGTCCGGTTGAATCTCCACTTCAGTTATTATGTCCGAAGACGCCATATTAATCTCCGCTGACGACGCCATATTACTAATCAAAATGGCTTGCCTTACTCACACGCTCAACACACCATCGCGCAACTGGATTGACAACTTTTTCCCCTTCTTTCACCTTCTTCGGTTCTTCGGTTCTTCGGCTATTCTACCGACATCTGCTGCCTGATTTTAGTACTACTTGACACCAAACTTCTTTACCGATCATCAGTAGCTTTTTTAGCTTCTTCTTCATATGGATCTATTTTTAATTATCAGTAAGAAGGTAAGATGGCGACAATTAATCAATTTTTGAAAAAAGACATGGAAGGAAAGTGGAGAAAGTTTAATAGATAAACGTCAAACAAATGTCAGTGCTAGTTTTATCTATCTACTTTCACATTTAAATTTTTATACTTCTTCACTCCAAAGATTTGTCAATAATTTACATTTAAATTACCAAAACTTGTCATAAAAAAAAACATTTAGCAATTTTCATAATGTTATCTCTGAAAATTTTTATGAAAAGCAAGTAGTAAAATTTACCATTTGCCAGACAGTAAGTATCGATGAAAATAAAGTCAGACATCTAAAGATTTTTGATTTTTTTTATTAAAAAAATTTTTTTTCATTTGTTAAAAACTTCAAAAACTAAGTGTGCAATTTTTTGAAAATATTTTTAGTTATAATTTATTAAATTAAGCAAAAAAAAAAAAATCAAAAATGTCGGCTAACTTTATTATTATTAAGTTATCGACTTATTAATGAGTATTTTTTAATTATATTGCTAATTATTATATTTTTTGTTTAAGATAATAAGGTCGCGTAAGTTATTATGATGAAAATCAATTTCAAGCGGTTAACTATAGCACGATGGACGATATTTGTACCACTAATTATTTATATGAGCTTGTTATATATAAAATATAACAGAAATATAAAATTAAAAAGCCCTGATGAAATGGACGAGGATGCTGGTATACAGAGTTTATTTTCTGAGCTTGAATCAGTGTCAATAAAAAATTTTAAAGAAAGTAACATTGATAAATCTATAAGTAAGAATTTTAATTTAAATAGTATTGATAGTAATAATGTTGAACGAGAAATTCATGAAAATCCGAGATTACTGCTGGAAAATATATTCAGAAAAGCTGATGTTAATGAAAATCAAGAATTAGATATGCAAGAAATTGCTAAGTGGATTCACGGTAAAATAATTCAGCATATTGATCGTGCGATGAGAGATAATATTGGTTTATTCACAGCTATTGATATAAATCCACGTAATGGTGAGTATTGATTTTATAAAAGGATATTTTTTAATTAGTTAAATAAATTTTTTAATTTATTTAAAAACAGAAATTATTTCAGCTTTTGAAAAAGTGGCCATATAATCTGTACTAATTAAATTAATAAATAAAATAATTTTTTTTTGCAGGTGATATTTCTTGGGATGAATACCACGCATATTTTTTACGATCCCATGGATTTGCAGATTCTTACATTAATTCGCATGATAAAAGACATTCAGAGTTAACGAGAACACTTAAAGAAAGTATTATGAGAGATCGGGCGCGATGGATTGAAGCTGCCCGAAACGATCCAGATAAATTAACGCTGGATGAGTTTCTCGCTTTCACTCATCCTGAGAGTAGTCATCGTGCGCTTTTACAAATGGTTGATGATTTGTTTGAAAAATTCGGTTATTATTATTATTTATATTATTACTATTATCATAATTACTACACTGCACTAAGAAAAATACCTATTAGAAAGTTAATGTTTACCTAGCTTCTACATAATCTCAATAATCTTCAATTGAATTAAATTTTTTTTTAATGAAGAATTTATTATTAATAGAAAGTCAATTAAATTAAAATAAAAAATTTATTTACTAAACTACTAATTTTGATGGTAGATCGTGATGGAGATGAAGAATTAACAGAAAACGAATTTGCTGATTTACCTGTTGATGGGATGGGCCTAGATTTGCGTGAAGATACTCCAGAACCTGTGGGTGGAAGTGAAGGACGTAGACAAGAATTTCAGTATTTGATAGATAAAAACAAAGACGGCAAAGCTGATCGTTCTGAATTACTGGTAAATAACTTTTAGTAGATTTTATAAAAATTTAACTGTTGCATTGGTCTTCATGACGGAACTTTTGAAAAATTTTGCTATATTTCGACTCAGCTCGTCAAGCGGATTCAGAAAATGAATATGATTCAAAAGTATATATATATATATATGTATATGTTATGAGCGACCTTTCAAAGCTTAAATTTTGAACTGAAACTTTCAGAAACTTATTTTTTTTTTGGTTTATAAAATTATACCGTAACGAAAATAAAAATTTAAAAAAAAAAAAAATTCAATTTTTGAAATTTAAAAAAAATTTGGAGCGACCTCTGAAAAAATTTTTTTTGAGCTGTCCCTTTGTAGAGGGCTCTTAAAACATAAATAACTAATATTTTTTTACTTGAGACTCAAAAAAAAATAGTCGATTTTTTTGTGCCACCCTATTATATATACATATACACACGATATAATCGGCATTATCTCTTTTCTAACTCCCGCAATTCTATACGGATCTCAATAAAATGTAACATATTCTTAGGACGATTTCTGAAGTTTAGTTCTAAGAAAAGACAAATCTGTCGATTCGTTTAGAAATGAGAGCAATTTAAAAATTTTCAAAAATCGCAAAAATTTTCACTTTTACCGTAATTACGTGCAATAACAATTAAATGCGATATCATATTTAATTTCTGTAAATTGCATCTGAAAGCTTATTTAATAATTATTACCTTAAGCTTCAATTTGCATATTAATTATGAAATCTACCTCCATTTCGGCTGCCGAATGGCCTTTTTTTGTTGTCTTACCGATCATATTTTAATTATTAATTACAAATATCAATTATTTTAGATGTATATCGATCCAAGAAATCCCAGACACGCGATACAAGAAGCGCAGCATTTGATGGATCTTGGTGATATTGATCATAATAGGAAACTTAGTTTATCTGAAGTACTCAGCAAAACGGATTTATTTTTAGGAAGTAAAATGGTCGATACAGAAAAAAGTTTTCATGATGAGTTTTGATAAAGAAAGTTACTTACCTGTACTTATAGTTTTAATGTGAAAAAAACTTTCGCGGTTAAAAGTTTCAATTTCTTACGTACTATAGTATTAAAAAACAATTAGAAAATAATGATTTTCAGAACCGACTGATCAATTAAAGCTTTTAGACAATGTCTGTGATAGTCAACACTACAGTGTAAAGATAAAAGAAGCAATCACATCAGTATTTTTAAACATAATGCACTAATTTGATACATGTAACGTCATATGTATGATTAGTAATTGTAATTAATATCACAGTACTGTACCTTAATTACCACATAAGGATTAAACACGAATACTTATTATTATAGAAAAGTAATTTACACGATATAATCTGTAATCAAACACTTTTATATTTAATCACAAATTTTTATATACAATATTAATATATGTGATAGATTTTTTATCAGTATATACATAGCTTTTTTTCTGACTTTAATTAATATATGACAATAAATTGTATTAAATATTCGTTTTTAGGTAACATTAAATACAAAATATTTATTTATTTAATATCTATAAAATATAGCATTTTAACTAATTAAAAAAAATATTAGACATTCTATAAATATTTTTTATATATTGATTTGTATAAATTGTTTTTTTTTTTTTATCATACATTATATTTTATCACATCCAACATTAATATACTTTTCATTCCAATTTAAATTCATATAATATATAATAAAATATGATATACTTAATATGATATACTATATGTATAGTTTAAAAAATAAATCATTACACATATGCATTTTATTAAGCGTACTCTAAAAGGAATCACAATGAAAGCTTATTACAATTACTTTCTCAATAAAAAAAAATTTCTTTTAACAATTTTTCATCGCTGACACTTTATATATTTATCTTTTTTAATTCAGTTATCACATACAGTTTATTTATTATATAATATTTTTATTACAACATTGATTTATATTGTAATGATATATTTATATAAGATATTAATCATTAAAAACATTCGTTTTTAAATAGTCAAATCTCCGTCTCTGTTTATATATTTGTAATAAATATGGAAAATGACATTTTAAAAGTTGTACAAAAGAAAATAAATTTTAAAATTAAATCTATAAATTCTTTAATTATTTTCAATCCCTCTTAAAGCTGGTGATTTTATAAATTCGTTTATTTATGTATGTATTTTTACGCGTTTTATTTGAGTTTAAAATAAATAATTTATTTTTTTAATTATGAAGTTCAAGAATATGAGGTAATTGGTTCAATAAGTAGTTGTTGTTTTGGCGATTTTTTGTCGCCAAAACCACATAGGTCAAACAGTTGTCCTGAAAAAAAAATTTTTTGGTAAAATTTTTTTAGATAAATAAAAAAAAAAAATAAAAATGATAACCGGAAAGTATACAATATATCAATGAGGAACTAATATATATTCAAATATGATACACTTTTTTTATGTTCAACCGACAATAAATTCTGAAAAGTTGTATGGGATCATCCAATTTTCCCTTTTTTTACATATATTTTTTCATTCTCATACCTTTCTGTTATCTCCGAAACATGTTTGGGGTATATTATTCATGCAAATATATACTATTGGAAACACAATGTACCAAGTAATATAATATGTAATAACAGAACGAATTAGTGAAAATAATAAAGATTCATAAAAATAAATAAATAATGAAAAATTTTACTTTTAAAGTTTCCGACGTGAACAAAATTAGATTAAAAAGTAATTCTTTGTAATTTGAGTAAATTTATTTATTAGTTGATTTAAGTTCATGGAATTGAATATCAATCTCGATAAATCCGAAGAAGTAATTAACGATTTTCAATCAAATGTTGCTTTTATCTACTAAAGTAGCAATTAATCTTCTTTACGTATATAAATTTTAATCAAAAATTCTTTCAATGTGTTACTTTAAGATTACTTTTTATCGCTTTCTTAATGAAAGGTAAATTTTCCATTTCGAGAATAATAATAATAATGTTTTTTAAGTCAATTGAATAAATAAATAATTTTAAGGTTTTTTTTATTAAATATTAACAGTAAAAACTAAACTTTTAAATATTGTGTCTATTTTTTTGTAACTCTTTAATATAGTATTTCTTAATTTAAAAGATTATAGCTGTTACGGCAAAGCGCTTTAACACGTAAGCATTATCTCATAAGTATTCAATCCTTTCATGTTGAGCCAATTCGAATGCATAAGCAGCTACACGCTTCGATACTTTAGATATTATTGAATAAAATATCAGACTAACGAGATGGACTATTTTTAGTAAAAAAGTATTCCTTTAAAAAGATTCTTTTTAACTATTTAAATAAATTATTATTATTTTTAAAACTCAACCTACGAAGATTTAATTTACTTTTTAAAAGCAAAATACTTCCGTTACATTAAGATTTCCTTTTAAGTATCGGAGTAATTATATAGGTAAATAATGAATCATTGAAGATTAATAATAATAATAATAATAATAATAATAATAATAATAATAATAATAATAATAATAATAATAATAATAATAATAATAAACAGACAAATTTTTATTTTATTATTTTCAGAATTTACTATTTTAATTAACGCGCCTAATTAGTGTGACAGTTTTTTGTATGCATATCATATCAATTGACTTACTCGGCACGTCGATCTGGAGGTGGAGTGTCACCGCCGCGACAGCATAGTCTTATCCAGCCCCTCGATCTTAATTCACCTTCATCGACATCTATTACTTAAAAATTTTTTATCAATTTTTCATGATTAAACAAAAAATTCCAAGCAATAAATAACTTTTTTAAAAATAAATATGAAGCTATTATTAGACTACTTATTTATAATTATAGCAGTTGTAATTATAGCAGTTGTTATAAATATAGAGTAAATTCACCTGCAGCTATCCGTTGGGAATGACACCCACTAAATGTTGATAGCCGACGATTAGACCGATTACTTCCTCTTAGCGACATATATACGGACATTGTTTTCTTCAATGCAATTCTGACCTTTAATAATTTTAAAATAAATTTTTTTTTATTGTAGAATAATAATAATGTGGAAATACTAGAACAATATCTATGGCCTTGACATACGTCATGCGATGGAGAAATTAACGATGCATAAGTAATAGAATACAGAGAGCAACATTGAGCGTTAATTATCAAAGATCGATACTTGAATATACTTATTGTAAAACTAATGTAATAAACTCTCTCATCGCTTATTACTTATGTATCTTATCAATATAATTTTACCTCGCCATTGAGAAAACAGTAAAGTGTTGCTATAAACAGGCCTTGAAACGAAGTAAGAAAGTGTGTCGTGTAAGACCAGATAGCAAACCAAATTGTTGTTTCAAGTGGTGCTGCAGCCATCGAAATTAAGTTTGTAATTCCTAATAGTGGAAGAAGTACAGCAGCCGCTCTTACGGCTTTTCTGTAAATTTAAATCAATTATACATAAGTAAATTTCAATTATATTAAAACAATTGGAACGTTTACGTAAATATAACAAGGTTTCACGTATGTAAATGAATAAATTAATCTGTGTGTTGATTTAAATTGAGTAGAATTTCATTATATGTAATGTATCGCGTTATTTAATTTAGAAACGAACAAAAATGATTTAAAAGATTTTAAATTCAAATTAAACCCAGAATGTGAATTTCATTTGATTTTCCTTTTAATTACGAACACACATGCTTTAAAAGTTGTACTTCGCTAAGCCTTGAGGGTGGGTCACTTACCGTGCTTGTTGAGTTTCACTAGTTCGACTTTGACGTAATTTAACAACCAATACTCGAACAATGTTCATTAAGAATAAAAAATTTAGCTGGAGAGAAAGAGACTTTTTTGTTAATCAGTTTAAATAGATTTTTTTTTATCTTTTTTTATCTTTTATGATTTACTGTTTTGATTACCACTATAATTGCCATTCTTGGTCCTTCTAATATCCAAAAATATGATGTGAGATTGTACCCCCACCAACACCTGAAAAATTTAAGTAAATTTTGTTTATTTAATATTTGAGTGGTATAAACTGACAAAAAAATTTTTGCTAATCGGAAAAAATAAACCGGAAAAAATAGACCTGGAAAAAATTTTTAAGTTATGAATTTTAAAGTTAAAATTATTATAAAATAAAAAATTATAATAATAATAATTGTATCACACCCACAATTTTCCTGAAAAAATAGTAACCCCAGAATGATCGCTTCATCTTTTATTACAAAAAAAATAAATAAAAAATCATTACTATTATTATTATTATTATTATTATTATTATTATTTTTATTATTAGTATAATTTTTATTTTATAATAATTTTAATGAAATAATATGAATTTTTCATAACTTTAAAATTTATTTCAGGTCTATTTTTATGACACTGAAGTTAGCAGACTTGTAAAAATTTTTGATTTTTTTTATTAATTAAATTACAACTAAAAAGATATTTCTAAAAAATTGCACTTATAGTTTTTCAAGTTTTTTACAGGTGACAATTTTTTTTTTAATTGTTTAATTGAAAATTTTTCAATAAAAAATTTATAAAAATTTTGAAATGTCGGTTAACTTGATTTTCATCTATTTTTTCCAGGATTCAAAATTTTTTTACTTAATTAAGAATGTTAAAATGCTTAAAAATTATGTTTTATTAGATTCAAATTTTTTTTTTCTTAACTTATTAAAAAATATACATCTGGCGTCCAACAGTAAAAAAAAAAAAGATCTTTTAGATAAAAATAAACCTCACTAAATTTGAATTCGGAATTTGCCAGATCTGATTACTCGAGTGAGATAAATACTTACTTCCGTTCTATTTAATTAATTCTCCGTTAGGTTCTGATATGAACATAATACCTATCAAACTATAAAAAGAATTTTCAGACTTTGCAATCTTTGTCTGAATAAATATGATCCGCACCTATTTAGCATCAACTTTGTAGTAAATAAATTTCTCAAACGTTTGATTCTCTTTTATCGCTACTCACTTTGATGGATGATAATAGACAGCAGTTACAACAGCCCAAGTTGATGTCATCACCACAGGAAGTCCCCATCCAACTAATCGATACATTCGATAATGACTAGTTTCTTGAAAGACTGTCACTTAGTTTGCAGGCATTCAATGAAGAACAGATAAAAATGATAGCAGCATTATAATTAATGTATAAATTAAATGAAAAATAAGGAATATTAAATTACATTTTATTTTATTTAAATAATGGATAAAAACTTCTCGGTAATTTAAGAATATTAAATATTACAATAAGAGAAAATGCAAAGAAAAATGAGAATCGATCTGAGTCTAATTATTTTTACAATAAAAAAAAAAATATCAAAATATTTTATTAAGCATCTTTTGAAGTATAATATTTAATTTTAATTATGGAAATTCACCTGTAACCATATTATGAAGGAAGAAACCTTCGATGAACATCCACATGAACATAGCTGTTCTTGCATATTCGAGAAGAACATAACTCGCTTCGCATAAAATTGGCTGAAAAATTATCATAACTATTTATTTATTTAACTTTGATGAATTAAAAATTTTTCATTAAATTTATAAAGTAGAAATTATAGTTTAAAATTAATGAATCACAAGAAAATAAACTTGTTTTTAAAATTAACTTACAACATTATTTATACCCTGGGTAAATCCATAAACTTGAGATTTTATCAAGGCTTGATCGATGTACAATGTTAATCTAATGATAACTTGGATAACCATGGCTACAAAAAGATTTTTGTGAATACGTGTCCTTGTATTTCTCAATGACCTAAAAAAAAGAAACGAAAAAAAAATAGATACAGAAAATGTAAAAATAGAACACGGAAAAACAAAAAAAAATATTAAATGTAATTGACAAAAGAAGCGTTGGCATCGGATATACTATTGAAAATATTTCAACAACTTTAAAATGGTTAATTTTGTTCAGCCCAAATTTTTTAAAAAAACTATTTGAAACAATTTATATTAAATTTTTATATAAATAAATTTACCGTGATATTTATAAATAATAAAACATTTTTTTTTAATGTCTTTAATCAGTAATTATGTCAACTTCTTTTAGATTAAATTATTGAAAAGTAATTTACAATTAATAAATTTAATTTTGAAAAAAAACAATTTAAATTAAATTTTTATGTAAATAAATTTACCGTGATATTTATAAATAGTAAAAATTTTTTTTTTAATGTCTTTAATCAGTAATTATGTCAAATTTTTTTAAATTAAATTATTGACAAGTAATTTACAATTTATAAATTTAATAACTCGTTTGAAAAAAAATTTTATTTTTTACTGAAAATAATTGATTACAATTTTTTTACGAAAATTATCATAAATATAATTAATAATCATTAATTAGTAAATTTGCCTATTTTTAAGATTTAATAATAAAAATTTGTTTGAATAAAGCTTATAAAATAGGGTAAATGCACCAATTGTTGACCGGTCACCAATTAGTTGACCGATGTATAAAAAAGTTAATTAATTAATATTTTACAAGGGTTTTTTTTTTTCTTAAAGTATTAAAATAAAAAAATATGGCATTTAATCATCATAATAAAAAATTACGCAATTAATTGCGCAGTGATTATAGCTTTAAAAAAATATTCTGAGTTTGTTTACAACGCAACCAGCCATAAAGCGGTCAAAAATAACTAGCGTACAATTATTGGAGAGTGAGTGCATTTCATCATTAATTTAGTGATATTTATCGGCATAATATAAAATATTTTAATTTTATTATGTTAATT